TAATTATCAGTTCTTTATCACTTTACACGAAATAGGATAAACACACCTCATATCTGATCTACTAGTAGTCTTAAAAACCCACTTAAAAACAAAAAATACTTATTGATGTTGACTTTTTTTACTCGATTTTCCTATATAATCCACCGTATTCATGTATCTGAGCGTCTTTTGGTATAATTATTTATTTTTTACATATTCTTTTATTTAACAATAGCATATTACTTATCTGTATTTTACTTAAGCAAACATTTTGCCCAATATCGTCTTCTGGTTTAATTTGTACTGTCTTATCTATTGATTGCCTAGATCATCACGATTTGTCTACTCTTTCTTCTACTTCAAAAGTATTTTGTTTATCTTAGATTTTATGGGGTCGAATAACGCGGCTATTACAAACCATACTTTATTAAAATTGCAATCCTTCACTAAAGAAAATAAGAATTTTTGCTTATATCTATTGATCAATAAAATGAACTCGGAAAAATACGATATTCACAAACCAGCTGTGGGACGCTTCTAACTTCGTTCGACGCCTCTGAACAATTTCAAATTTATCGTCAATCATTAAAACAAAGCGCTTTTATATAAAATACCCATCACATACTAACATTTATTGTGGAATTTTTGCAAAAGTAAATTTTCCTAATTAATCCGTTGCCCCTATTGTCTATCCCTGATTACTTCAGCTGATTATGTCTTACTTTATCCTTGAAACGTTGCAAAGCTGTAAAATATGCCGTGTACATCCTCATTCCGTCGTAAATTAATCATTTTATAAGCATTACTATTAGAGAGAAAGTTTTGGATAATTTAGCCCTAGGCTAATTGGCTCTACACTATTCACATTTATCTTCATGGGCGCTTTTTCGAATGGTGTCTGTCTTGAATGTTGATCAGATAATTTCAGCAGATGTTTTAAGTTAGCCTTTGCTAAGATAAATTCTTCAAAGCTAAGGCTTTGCTGCACGTCAAAATAGGGGTTTAATCAAAGGTGTAAAAATTTAATTTTTTAAATTATCTACACTTTTTAAAAACGTTAGTATGTTTCAAAATTATCAGTAATTCTTGAATAAAAACTTAGTTACTATCGGTCTGCTAGGCTGATTTAAGGATTAATAATAGAATTTTCCTATAATTATTTGAGTAGATCTCAATATTCCATTTAATTTCACTTGGCTTTGTATAAAAGAAAATTTTTATTATCTCGACTCAACTACAGTTTGACCTTGACTCAGTATTATCAGTATCCTCATTGGTGACGAATTATATCTTTGTAGGATTCTACTATCATTCCACGACTCACTCTTCAATATCTAGAATAACTTTGTCTTTATTACTGTCTGTTACTTCAGTCAGTATTTTTTTTAAGCGCCTTTGCTCCATATCTTAGTTCCTTATTTTTCTGAGTTCATATGTGTACGCGTATACTTATGATTCTGATGGTACTTCTCACTATTTTTAATAGCGTACTGCTCTCTACCCAACCTATCTCCATGGGCCTGAATCTGAGCATATTGCCGAAACCAAGAGTGAAAAAGAACAAGAATTTTATCCTTGTGTCAAGTCAATCACTCTTCCCTGCGCTGAAGCATCTCATTCATCTGTATCCCACGAAAATAGTCAGAACAGCACAAATGATGATGACAACATTTCAGTGCCTCCACTGCCTGCCGAAGCACATGCCATGCTCACAACTGATAATACTCTTTCCTGTGTAGATTCATGCACAGAATCACCACAGCTACATCAACAGCCTGGCCAGCCTATACATTCCCTTTCATTATGGTCAGATGAACAGGGTATGCAGATTTATATAATTATAGTGTTGGTTCGATTTTGTTTTCGCAACTTGGTCTGAGCGTTATATAACTATACTTTGCAGACATTAGGTACTAAAAATTAAGGTAACCAGAATAATCGACATAAATTTTCTTTGTAAAAAGTTCTGGGTAACTCTACATTCGTTAAGAACGAAGGACTCAGATCAAGCAGGTATTGGCCATAGCCTTTCAGTACTGCCATATACAGAATGAACGTAACCCATAGATTTAATAGATGGCTAAGTTCGTTGTGTCTAAATGTTTAGATTTTTTGATAATCTAATATATAGTTATGATATGATTATCTTTGTCAACCGAAGAATTGCATCTGTCTAGGGCCTAAAATGCATCATATTCTTATATACCTTCTTTATATGTAGACTAAAGCTAATTCTCGTCTTTACCTAGTTTTGAGGAGAATGGCGGTTTATGTTAGGCCTTGTTTTTTACTTAATTAATTATAATATTTTCTATAATAAGCCACTTAAAAGGATATTTCTTTTATTCAGATGAGGCTAGAGACAATCTTTATTTGAAAAAAATCGATCCTAACTCTGTCAACAACTCGGATGGTGTCTTCTGTTTAGCCAACAAGCAGATAATAGACCGCGATGAGTCCAATTCATATCCTGCTTACTTTGCTGGCGGTTCGACACGTCTATCTACTGCATCAACCATTGCCCCAGCATCTTATAAAGAATTTCACCAACCTATCTCTTTATCTTCTGCATCACCATCTGCCTCATGTACTGCCTCAGCCCCTAATTTGAGCCCTGTAGTAACACCACTTCTCTCAACTGGTCGTCCAGTATCTTTTGGCAAGATAGGACTATTTCATGTCCGCCTTCCTGGCCTACGCCGAGATACAGCTAGTCTCAGCCGGTTAGATGAGCTCTCTGAGGCAGATAGTACGGCAAGCACTGGTAGTCCAGGAACAGGGGTTGGCTCTCTCATTAGTAATGCCGTCGTCCCCTCCAATGTTGACATTAATTGCAGGCGCAATCTTGCGGTGGCCTTTACTGCGAATAAAGATGTTGATACTGCTGTTACCACTGTCTTTCTCTCAACCGTTGATGCTGTTAATGATTCAACAACCTCTATAGTGTACAGCCCTAATATTACCCCTGCTACCACTGCCTCTACTAATAGCAACTTGTGTGCACCTACTTCATTTTCCACAACCATTTCTACATCTTTAATGGATCCTACCACCACTAGTGCTGTATCTGGTATGCAATGCACAGAAGAAAAAGCCATTTTAAATAACTTGGGGCAACAAGGGAAGGCCTGGAGTCCCTTTAGCCCAATAGGAAAGTTTGAAGCTGCAGATCCTTCTTCGCGTATGACGCCGCTTGCACTCAAAACGAATATATCGCCGCCACCACCACCACCCTCGCTACCTCCACTGGCGATGCCACTTTGTCTACCAGGATTTGCTTTGCCACCACTCTTTGCCGGTCATTTGCCAACATCTGGACATCCGATGCCAGTGCAAGTGCCTGTACTACCTGCAATCTATTCTGGAGCAGGAAAGCTTCCTGAGTATGTGATATATAGATACACCTTAATCATGTTCGACATTATTTTGTCCTAGATATCCTCCAACTTATTTCGCCCTCGCATCTACCTTAGCATGTTATCTGTCTTCTGTCCATTGATCAATTTAAGTAATAAATAATAAATAAATAAAATATTGATATTTCACATTTTCTAGCTATTTATCATCTTATTTTATCATTTTTCAGGTAAATTTTCCTTGTTCATAGCATTTAGATTATATCTAGGATACATCTCAAAACCTCGCTACCGGGCCTATGATAGACATTATTTTGTAGCGTAAAGTCCTATGAATAAACTAAATTAAACCTAAAGAATTTTTTTAATTAGTGGTGGATTTTAACCATATTTTAAACATTTGCTTTATATTTCTTTCTCAGACGATCTCGCAGTCGGCAAGCCTCATCCACGCGACATCGACTCGCCTTGCTCTCTTGTCGACTGACCGACGGGGCTCGCCGCGAATACACCACTATTTGTGATGACATTGATATGTCCTGCTTTAGTCAAGTAAATGTCTGTGGTGTTCGTGAATCACCTCCAAAAAATCTCATATACGGCTTCCTGCTTAATTAGTTTTATTCTCTATCTGATATCTCCCGGTTTGAGTCACTGACTCTTATAAGATGGGCTATCCAAACCTAGATGCCTTTAAATTCAGTAGTCTCAATGACTTAGCTAGTCTTCTATATCCCCCACTTATTTTTTTCATACTATAATTAATATTCATCTTCTTTTAGTGGCATTCCTTTGTATTAGCTTTTGCTATCGGTTTTATCATTTGATAGGTGAATTTCCGGTTTTGTCATCACTATTTAATCGAAATTCCTTCCTTTTGTGTCCGAATTTTTCCAATATGCTAGGATAGCTTTATAGTTGGTATATTTAGTACCTTTATTGCTTCTAGTTAAATGGATAAATAAATAAATATATATATATATATCCTTTAGGATTAAAATATTACAGTGCTCCCAGTTTAAGCATGTTCAACAAATCTAAGAGACTTCTGTTTATTGTGAAGTCAGTAAATTAATGCTTATTGTACACATTTACAAACAAAATAAAAGTATTTCATTTGAGTAGTTTTTCGAGACTACCAGTAAATCAGATCAATAGATGACTAAGTTCGTTGTGTCTAAATGTTTAGATTTTTTGATAATCTAATATATAGTTATGATATGATTATCTCTCATTTAAGGTGATAAAGGGCTGGTAGTTGAATTTCCCACAATGATATGAGTAGAGCTGATGGTTCCAGTGAATTTTACACTGCATTGCTTTCCCAAAAGCTGTTCGCATCTAAGAAAGACTGCAGTTTTGACCTCGCCTAGGTCTTATCAACTACCCCAGCGGGAGTCTAACCAGGCAAGATTCAACTATCAGTTCTTCATACTTTAAGCGAAATAGAGTGAACATAACTCATAGAAATAAAAACGTTGTTGATTTAACTTATTTCATTTTAAGAGGCGAATGGAAGAGATTCATAAATTAGCCTTAACGTAAA